GGCCGGCACGCGGGGCGCGCACGCGTCCGGGGCCGACGGGGGTCCTCGGGCGCGCGTACGCCCCTGTCGCGTTGGCTGCGGGACAAGCCTGGCGCTCAAGCAGGGCGGGTGGACGTTTTTCATCCATCCGTGTTTTGTGGATGGAAAGGCGGAAATGTGGAAGACTTGCCATTTGGCTGCCGGTCCCCAGACTCCTAATTTAGGGCGCGTTACACCAGACTCAGCAGGCCTTAGCTCTGGCGTATTTGGGTAACTATGCCATATAGATTAGTCTCGCCTGACCCAGGTTACTCTTCGTGATGTGCTGGGCATCGTGTTGAGTACGTTCCAGTTTCATCCTCTCCCTCCGGGTAGGTAGTTGGACTAGGTCGGTATGATCCCTGTTTGAGGCGATGAGGTGAGAGCGCATGAGCAGGTGCTGGAGGGATGTCAGGCTTAGATTGCCCCCAGCGCGGAGGCCGTTGCTTCAGCAACTAAAGAGCGGTGAGTTGGTGATGAGGAATTCTTTCTCATACACAGCATTTCCCTAGTTTTTCTCCTCTGTCCATTTGCCCAGTGAGAAAAATAAGCCCCTGATTTCTGCTGGGGTATCTACAGTTAGAAATTTCATGGGTGTTTTTTTGTTTGCTTTTAATAGAGTTGACCGGTAAGGGGATCTTAACCCTTGACTTGATGTTGTCAGCACCACGCTCTCCCAAGAGAGCCAGGACCGGCCCTTACTGATTCAATTTTTAAAATCCATTTTAATGGATCTCCTAATTCCTGTTTGTAAAAACATGAAATTTCTAGGGCCAGGCCCGTGGCTCACTCGGGAGAGTGTGGAGCTGATAACACCAAGGCCACGGGTTCGGATCCCATATAGGATTGGCCGGTTAGCTCACTTGGAGAGAGTGTGGTGCCGACAACACCAAGTCAAGGGTTAAGATCCCCTTACCGGTCATATTAAAAAAAAAAAAAATTGAATCAGTAAATTGGGAGCGTGAGCCTTTGCAGATGCTTATCAAGGGTAGCCCTTTAAGCGAGTTTGGGTTCTCGGTTTCCCTCCCTCCCTCCTTCTCTTTCTTAATTTGTGTATTTCGCAAATCACTTACACATACTTGATATGAGATAGCATATGATACGTTTTATCTATGCTTCATCTACATATTGCGTAGGAATAATCTGGTGTCCACCCTTGTGAAAACCAATTCCTGAATACTGGAAAATCAAGGACGTGCTAAGGCGTTTATTGATGCTTATCTCAACACTGAGCCTTTTTTCCAGAGACTTCTTATCACTGAACCATTTCACTTGGAAAATAAAAGGACTACATATTTCTCAATGAAAATAATACATTTCCCATGCAGGTTTAAATACTGTGCAGTGTTCGGTTTCAGGGGTGGGAGATGGAATAAAACTTTAGGAAAGATAAGAATGTAGAAATTTGTTTAAAGTACACTTAAATGATAAGAGATATTTCTGAAATTTATGTCAGGTTTTGGGGGCTGAAGAAGCATGTTAGAACATGGATATGTTTTTTAACCACAACATCTGTTCATGTTAAAGCTTATTTAAAAGGCATCTGTTTGAAGTCAATGAAAGCTAGGTTTTGGACCCTTCTAGTGAGTCAAATAAATCACAAAAATGCTTTCACAGGGAAACAGTATTTTTATTAACAGCTTTATTGGTACATAATTTACATATCATAAAATTCACCCATTTTAAGTGTTCAATTCAGTGTTTTTTACTCAGAGTTGTGCAACTATCCCACCATCTATTTTTAGAACATTTCATTATCCCCAAAAGAAATTATGAGGGCTGGCCAGTTAGCTCAGTTGGTTAAAGCGTGGTTCTGATAACACCAAGGTCCAAGGTTTGATCCCTGTGCCAGTCACCTGGTGGGGGAAACATGGGACCCATTAGAAGTCCCCCTTATCCTCTGCTCCTGGACACCAGTCCTCGGCAGCCAGTAGTCCACTTTCTGTCTCTGTAGGTTTGCCTATTCTGGACATTTCATATAAATGAAATCATCCTTAGTCTTTTTTGTGACTGCTTTCACTTAGCATATTTTTAAGGTTCATCCTTATTGAAGCATGCGTCTGTACAACATTGCTTTTTATGGCCAAATAATAATCCTTTGTATGGATATAGCACATTTTATTTATTCACCACTTGATAGACATGTGGGTTTCCCCTTTTTGCCTATTATGAATAATACTGCTATAAACATTCATGCCAAGTTATTGTATGGATATATGTTTTCACTTCTCTTGGGTAGATATCCAGGAGTGGAGTTGCTGGATCATTGATAACACCGTGTTTAAACTGCCAAACCGTTTTGCAAAGCAGCTGCACCATTTTATATTCCCACCAGTGTGTGAGAGTTCCAGTTTCTCTCTGTCCTTGTTATTGACTACCTTTTTTATTAGAGCTATCTTAGTGGATGTGAGGCGGTATCTGTGGTTTCACTTTGCGTTGTCCAAATGACTGATGATGTTGAAAATGCTTATTGGCCACCTGCATGGAAAATGTTTATTGACCATTTATGTATCTTTTTTGGAGAAAGGTTTATTTAGATCGTTTGCCCATTTCTTAATTGGATTATTATAGTTGTGTTTTAAGAGTTCTTTATATATTCTGGATACAAACAAGTCCCTTATGAGATGATCTAAAGATATTATCTCCCATTCCATGATTGTCTTTGCACTTTCTTATTTGCAACAGAAAAGTTTTTGATGCAGTCCAAATTATCTATTTTGTTTCTTTTGTCATTTATGCTCTTGGTGTAGTATCTAAGAAACCACGAGCTAACAAAGATTTACTCATATGTTTTCTTATAAAAGTTTTATAGTTTTTTTTTTTTCCCCCTTTTTGTCTTTTTTACTGACCGGCAACGGGATCGCAACCCTCGGTGTCGCGCCCATACCAGGGACCGGCAATGGGATCGCAACCCTCAGTGTTGCGCCCGCGCCGCGCTCAGCCAGTGAGCAGGAACCGGTCACCACATGGGATCCGAACCCTTGGCGGCTCCCGCCGCGCTCCCAAGTGGCGCCACCAGGCCGGCCCAAGTTTTATAGTTTTCTTATATTTAAGTCTAGGATCCATTTTTGAGTTAATTTTTGTGTATGGGATAAAGAAAGGGGTCCAACTTTACTCTCTTGCATGTTGATAAGACTACCGTAGTTCCCCCTTATCTGGGGGGGAATACGTTCCAAGACCCCCAGTGGATGCCTGCAACTGTGGGTAGTACCAAACCCTATATATATACTGTTTTTTCCTATACATACATACCTATGATAAAGCTTAATTTATAAATTAGGCACAGAAAGAGGTAAACCACAATAACTAATAATAAAATAGAACAACTATAACAATATGCCAGCATCATTACTCTTGCACTTTGTGGCCATTGTTAAGTAAAATAAGGGGTTCTGGAACACAAGCACTGCGTACAGTATCACGACAGTTGATCTGATGATTCAGTCTGCTGTTGAGTGACTGACAGCAGGTAGCATCTACAGCATGCATGCACTGGACAAAGGGGTGATTAACGTCCAGCCCTGGAGTCAGACTGCACAAGAGTTCATTACTCAGAATGGTGCACAATTTAAAACTTAGGAATTATTTCTGGGATTTTCTATTTAATATTTTTGGAATGCAGTTGACTGAGGGTAACTGAAACAACAGAAAGCGAAACTGTGGGTAAGGGGGGACTACTGTATTCTTTTCCTGTTTAATTACATTGACATGGGTTGTATTATTTTTTATATACTATCACAGCTTTGTGAAAATTTAGTACAGAATTATTTGGAGTGAGTTGATTTGTCTGAGAGAACTGTGAATATAAGTTTCATGATTTTAGGGTACCTACAAAATGTATATTATGGGGCCAGCCCGTGGCTCACTCGGGAGAGTGCGGTGCTGATAACACCAAGGCCACGGGTTTGGAGCCCATATAGGGATTGGCCGGTTTGCTCACTGGGTGAGCGTGGTGCCGACACCACCAAGTCAAGGGTTAAGATCCCCTTACCGGTCATCTTTTTTTTTTTAAAAAGTGTATATTATGTTCTACCCTTTGTCGATGTGTTAATTTAATCGAATTTTATATAAGGTAAAGATGCTGGAGCTCTGTCTAAACACTGAAATAACATATTTTAATACAAAAGAATGTGGAGCTTCTGGATTTTGAGGCAAATTTTTCCTGCATAAATTCTCAAATCGCTGTGATGTGGTATTTTGTATTTTGCTATTAAAATATGCTTCTTCACTTTAGTAGATAATATTTGATAAAGTCTCTCATAAAGGAAATATTATGATTTGAAGAAGAAAAAAATCTATTTAATGTATTAATTTAATTATGATTGCTGAACTGCTACATCCTTTTCTCTGTTCCTGATTTTTTCTTTTGTTTTTTCTTTACAGCAAAATATCCGGAGATAAAATCTTTAATGAAACCTGATCCTAACTTGATATGGATTATAATTATGATGGTTCTCACCCAGTTGGTTGCATTTTACTTAGTAAAAGACTTGGACTGGAAATGGGTCCTATTTTGGGCCTCTGTCTTTGGCAGCTGCCTTAACCATTCAGTGACTCTGGCTATTCATGAGGTTTCCCACAATAGCGCCTTTGGCCATTGCAGAGCCATGTGGAATCGTTGGTTTGGAATGTTTGCTAATCTTCCTATTGGGATTCCATATTCAATTTCCTTTAAGAGGTATCACATGGATCATCATCGATACCTTGGAGCCGATGGCATTGATGTGGATATTCCTACTGATTTTGAGGGCTGGTTCTTCTGTACCACTTTCAGAAAGTTTATATGGGTTGTTCTTCAGCCTCTCTTTTATGCTTTTCGGCCTCTATTCATCAACCCCAAACCAATTTCTAATCTGGAAATTATTAATATTGTGGCCCAGATCACTTTCAACATTATAATTTACTACTTTTGGGGAATTAAATCTTTAGTCTACATGTTGGCAGCATCCTTACTTGGTCTGGGTTTGCACCCAATTTCTGGACATTTTATAGCTGAACATTACATGTTTTTAAAGGGACATGAAACTTACTCGTATTATGGTCCTCTGAATTTACTTACCTTCAATGTGGGTTATCATAATGAACATCATGACTTCCCCAACATTCCTGGAAAAAGCCTTCCACTGGTAAGTAAAGGATTTGATACATATTCTAATTTCTTTTTTTTTTTTTGATTGGTAAGGGGATTGCAGCCCTCGGCATGGTGTGGTCTGTACCACACTCAGCCAGTGAGCACACCGGCCCTCCCTATATAGGATCTGAACCCGTGGCCTTGGCACTACTAGCGCCGCACTCTCCCGAGTGAGCCATGGGGCCTAATTTGTGATGTAACCAAAATTTGTCTTTCTTTTTTTTTTTTTAAGTGTTTGTTTTGTTTTTGGTGGCTGTCAGGGATGCAAACCCATGACCTTTGTGTTATCAGCACCATGCTCTAACTAACTGAGCTAACTGGCCAGCCCCACCAAATTTGTCTTGACTTGCCCCTTTGAAAAGGGATGTAGGAATGTAGTCAATCTAAACTCAAAAAAAAAAAAAAAAAAAAAAAGCCAAGAATATAAATTCTGTACCTGCCAGCCTCATTTTACGAAGGATTCACTCTCTTGGAACCTTAAGTTTAGTGGTTACACTTAGTGTTTAAAAGGATTGGAGGATCTGCAAAATATACTAATTTGTAAATAATTCAGGAAGAGAAAACTAAATCCCTGTATGAAGTAAGCAGCAGTTCATGTAAACGTCATCACTATTAAACCAAATGGGCTTAGCTAAGGTTTGTGTGTTGGTTTATTATGAAATAAAGATTTCCTATGTAATTGATCTGCAAAATAAGTGAACATCAATTTCCAATACAGTAATTTTCCTGAGGACAGGAACCATCTGTTGCCGTTGATTAGTGTATTGTGTATGTAGGAAATGAAAAGGCATTTGGGGCTGGCCCGTGGCTCACTTGGGAGAGCGTGGTGCTGACAACACCAAGCCAAGGGTCAAGATCCCCTTACCGGTCATCTTTTAAAAAAAAAGAAAGAAGACATTTGATCCTCTTCTTGTCATCCTCTCCAAAATGACTCCTTTCCTAACTTCAGTTGTCTTTCTGGTGAATTCTGTTGATAGCCTTCCCATCCTCAAAATGGGTAGCTTATAATTATGTTACCAAAAAATGTTTCCATAATTCTAAAAAAGGTAATGTGTACGAAATGTAATATTAGTTTTAAAAAAATCTTTTTTAGCTATAATGTAAGGAAACTCTAGCCAGATACTTTATTCTTTCATACTCACCCAATCAAATTTTGTAGATTTTGGGCTGGCCAGTTAGCTCAGTTTGTTAGAGCATAGTGTTATAACATCAAAGTCGAGGGTTTGGATCCCCAATCAAAATAATTTTTGAACAAAATAATTTTTTGAACACCCTTTAAACAAAATAATTTTTTCCAACATAAATCACATACTTGTAACCTGATCAAGCAGCCCTGGAACTGAAAACTTAGTTTTGGTCCGGCGTCACTTGACTCAAGGCCCATGGGCAGCAGTGACTCTTTGTGCCCCACTGTCCCATGCCGTCTTGTCACTCCTTGGTTGCCTAATAGGTGTCCCCAGAGTCGGATGCTCCTCCCTTTCCTTCTTTCTCTCTGATGTGCATCGAGAAGCACCTTGTTTTGTTTTTCTCAGTAACTGCTGGGTGTTTATTGCATAGTTAAATTACAGTAGTTACATTGCACATAGCTATTCTGTGGTTAATAGGTATGCAATAACAAGGTGTTTTTTTTTTTTAAGTTTTACTGAGCTGTAACTCACATTACCCATTTAAAATGTTTTTAATATATTCAGAGTTGTACAGCCATCAATGTAATCAATTTTGGAATGTTTTCATCATAATAACAAGGTTTTTAATATTTTAATTAAAAAAATTTTTTATTAGCTATTTTTACTGAGCGTTGCTCTTCACAAAAGACTTTAAGTATGTATCTTTCCATTTGCTCACAACCTTGTAAAATACATAAACAGACATCCAGGGATTTATTATGTCAATGCTTGAATTGAGCTGGACACATAAGTAATAAATTCCCTAGGTTTTCTAACTCCTAGTATTAAGGAATTTCTTAATTTTTGACTTTGTCTTTAAAAAATGTACAAAGTATAAATTTTTTTTTGTTTTTACTAAGATTGTTAATGTATTTTTGGTCTTATGGAGCATCTTGACTCAAGTGCTTCTTCAGGACCTAAACCAGCTCTGTCATTTTGCTTTTTTGGAAAGAGAGCATCTTTTCTATTCTAGCTATTAAAATAAACTAATCGTTACTGGCTTTGACATAATTCATTGTGGCTTATTGTCCAGGTTTATTTGTATATATGTATGGTCTGTAGATTATCCTTATTTATGAAACAATTTTAGGAAGTATCAAAGGACTGTGATCAAGGGTATTGTCCCTTTGAATGGCTTGGTATCACATCTCTCTGTGTGTTTTGTTTTGGCAGCTGGATGGTATGGGGGTCCATACCCGTGACCTTGGTGTTATAAGGCTGTCTCTGTTTTTTTTTTTTTTTTTAGAACACTCAAGGCCTCTGTTCATGTCTTGAGGGTGTATATTAATCTGCTACTCCACAACCAGGAAGTATTGTCACATTTTCCAAATTGAAGGAATAATTTAAACTTCCATATCTTTTCTTTTCCTTGCTGTCTCTCTTCACCATTTTGGATTCTTTTTTTTTTTTAGAAGAAAACCAATAAAGGGATCTTAACCCTTGACTTGGTGTTGTCAGCACCACGCTTTCCCAAGTGAGCCAACCAGCCTTCCCTATATAGGATCCGAACCTGTGGCCTTGGTGTTATCAGCACCACACTCTCCCAAGTGAGCCACGGGCCGGCCCTTCACCATTTTGGATTCTGCTTTATTTTCCTTGGGATTTATGAGGATAGCTTTTGTACATTCTGATTATTACTACTCAACACCAGCTAGTTTTGCTTGTTAGTCAAACTGGCAGTATTTAAAGATGTTTTCGACTTGAGATGGCAGGATTCCACACTTGATAAATGCTTCATTCCTATCTAATTTACATACCACAACAATTTATTAGTATCCATAAGTTCCTTTATCACAGGGTTCAGGTGTTACCTTTATATTCTACTATGTCATCTGTGCAGTACCTACTTTTATTTTTTATTTTTTTAATTTATTTTTAAATTTATTTTATTTATTGAATCAAAATCGATTATACATATTTTGAGGGTTGAACATTGAGATATGTTGATTAAATCAATATTACTAGAATATATATTGTTACAAATCATAATTATTCTTTTTTTTTTTTTTTTAAAAGATGACCGGTAAGGGGATCTTAACCCTTGACTTGGTGTTGTCAGCACCACGCTCAGCCAGTGAGCGAACCGGCCATCCCTATATGGGATCCGAACCCGGGGCCTTGGTGTTATCAGCACCGCACTCTACCGAGTGAGCCACGGGCCGGCCCCCAAATCATAATTATTCTTTATGCCCCTTGTCCAACCTCTCCCCATCCCCCTCTCCCTCCCCCCTCCCACCATTGATTACCCTAGATTTCTTCTCTCCTCTGAAAGAATAATGGTTTCTCTGTTAACTTGTTGCCTAGATGATCTGTCCAGTGCTGAGAGATGTGATCAGGTCCCCCAATATTATCATAGAGCAGGTGCTTCTGTCACTCTGAAATGGGTTTTGTGGAAAGAGACATCTTCTTTTCTTTGTTTCTGCTGGTGACTTTTCTTGTTGAATGCACTCCAGTGGTTGGCGGACCATCTGCATGGTGGCTGTGGCATTTGGCTGCTTTTGCAGCAACCATGGTTATTGTGGTGGCTGTGGTGGGCCACCCATGTAGAGGTGCTGTTTTTGGCATGCTCCTTGGCACTGGCGGTATGCCTGGTTGTGGGGTGTGTTTGGTCCCCTTCTCCATGCCTCTGGTCCCAGGGCAGGCCCCAAGGTGCTGGCACCATGTGCCTGGTTGTGGGAGAGGGGTCCAGTCACCTTATCCATGTCCTGGGTCCCTGGGTGGGCCCTGAGGTACTGGTGCAGTGTACCTGGTTGTGGGAGGAGGGTCTGGTCCTCTTCTCCATGCCTCGGGTACCCAGGTGGGCCTCAGCAGTACCTACTTTTAAGGTGGCTCAGTTGGCAAGTGTGTGGTGCTGATAATACCAAGGTCCAGGGTTCAATCCCTGTATTAGCCAGCTGCCCCAAAAAAAGGAAAAGCCAGTTAATTGAATTGCATGTATTTGTTGTTAATTTTATATATAGACCAGTCCCTCAGAGCTTGATAGGAGAGAATCAGTAGTCCTAGAGGGTCTAATGTATTCACCTGCTGAAATGCAAACTGCTTTTTGTTCAGAATTTCCTAAGCTGCTAGTGCTTTTTTTTTTTTTTTAAGAGGGAGGTGGGAGAAAGATCTTGTGGTTTCCTTTCTCAGTGTTTGCATCATTCATCTATGACAGGGCCCACTAATACTCATCATTCACCATGCTGTATTTTTTCCCTTCTAGGTGAGGAAAATAGCAGCTGAATACTACGACAGCCTCCCCCACTACAACTCCTGGATAAAAGTACTGTATGACTTTGTGATGGACGATACAGTGAGTCCCTACTCAAGAATGAAGAGGCATCGGAAAGGGCAGGTGGTACTGGAGTAGACACCATTACAGCCTGAGGAAGTCCTCTCTGAAACTTTCAAATAGGTTATAAAGTGGGATTTTTGCATTACTATTAAACTTAAGACCAGTGATGCTTACAAGCTACTCTGGTACAGTTTTAATGTAGGATCTCCATGGTATCAAGAAACTAATCTGGCTTTAAACAGTCAGCCTGTCTCTGCAGTGCTCAGCTTTACTCATGGGAAACGTGTTTGTTGTATTATTGCCGTTGAAGATGTTTTCACCCACGTCTGTCATTTTGTAAGCATATCATAAAAGAAGACTTTTGAAAAGCTATTTCTAGAACATTATTTTCACTATAAAGTTTTGCTTTATTAAAACAGCTAATAAGCTGTGCTACTAATCACAATACATTAGTATTTATTGCATTTTTGTGTCACTATTTTTATACTACATAACATGGTAACCTGGGTACTGAGGGGAACTTTCTTGAAAATTTCACCCGGAAAATAATTTTTAAAAGGCCTGAGTTAAGGTAATATAGTATAAAAGGTTGAGATGGAAATCTTTTCAGTGGAAGGTAATTACTCATTTTTAATTTTTACTGTTGTACATGGACCTAAATTAGACACTGCTGAATCCTGTATAGCCTTACTCATAAATAAAGTACTTACTGAATTTAATCGTGTCCAACATTCAGCTTCCTTTTTCAGGTGCATTGACCCTCACGTTAGAAACAGCTCAACTGATGAAGAGTTTCATGTTATTTCATTGCAATGGAAACTGGTTGTGGTCTGATGGTAGATAGTTGGTCTCAGGTAGCCAGTGTTATACCGTCAGTCCTATGTCACTTGAGTAAATTTAGTGTAATATGGTGATCTATTTTAAAAATACATCAGCTGTATTCAGCTGTATTGCAGTTTCATGCAGCATAAAGCAACACCCAGGCTGTAGAGGGCAGAATGAAGAGTAGAATCCTCTGTGGGATTGGCAAACCTGCTTTACAGACCTAATTTCATCCCCAAAGTACTTTGCTTTACCTTCCTGACCCTCTTGCCCAGGAAAATTCCTAGTATCCTTGAATCTACTGCCTAGAGTTTAGGGTGAAAAAGCCAGTTTCTTACAATTCAGATTAACTTGGTAAGTCACTAAAAAAGTATCTGTAAAACATACCATGGACTTGATGCTATATGTTAAATGGATCATGTATTCTCACTGAGCCCTCACCTCCCCCTGCCTCCAGAATGCTAGCCAGTGGCTTCAACTGCCGTGTAAATGCTGTCGACTCCCTGAAATCTGTCAGCTCAGACTTCTGAATTCCACTACCTGCTGGATGCACAGAGTGAATTATCATCCCTCCCCAAAATTGCTGTTTCCCTTTACAGTATCAATTCTTGCTAGGATAGAGGTTTCACTCTTCTTAGCAGGTCTCCTAACTCGTCTGGCTCCCATCTGCCAGCTCATTCCGTTCTTTCAGAGCTCTGCCAATCAGGGCAGTAGGAAGGCTGGGCCCAGAAAATTTAAAGAGTAAGTCCTGAAATCATTCTTTATCTTTGCACGCATCCTCTTCTGTGTTGACTCCTTTCCCCATTTCTGGATTGGTTAGCTTGTCCTTCAAGACTCACACCAGCTTTCTGTCACCTACCCCCACTCCCCAGCAGGTCAGGTTCTACTTGTTTGGATTCCAAGAACCAATGACTACCTTGTTTGTGGACCTAACCATGCTGTTTTATAAACAGGCACTGTTTGCTTCCTGCTGAGGTGGTAACTCCTTAAGGGCAGGACAAATCTTTTATTTCTCTATTCCCCAAACCTAGCAGGGTCAGTGCTTGGCTTGAGGTAAGTGCTTAATAAATGGGGAAAGACCAGCAGAGAGAGTCCTTGAACTTCAGAAGCTTTATCTAAACAGAAACAGCCAGTGAGGGAAGGTATTTGCATAACCTTTAGGTACCAGTGGTATACTGCAGTCAGCGGACATTTATTGAGAACCCTTACTTTTACCAAGCCCACACCAGGTGTGTTACATGCATCTTATTTAAGTCTCCACACGTATGACATAGATAGTACTATTAACATCTTCATTTTGTACATGAGAAAACTGAAGCTTAGATTAAGTAACTGGCCAAATGTCACAGTAAATTACAGAAACAGAATCTGAAATTCAGACTGTGTGACTCCAGAACCAGAACTCTTGACTGTTCCACATGGCTTGTCTAATTAATCTGGTCCTGGAACAGTGATGGGAATGAAGAACACACGTTCCCATCACCAAATACACACTCCCTGCGCTGCCTCATTGACCACTCCTATTTGCCAGCAGTTTGGGCTAGATCTTGGTGGTTTTTTCCAACTCAACAGTTTAAAATTCTAATATAAAATATTAATATTTAAATCCATTGTAGAAATGCATTTATCCCTTCTACAGGTACTTTGCCAGGCATTGTATAGGCAGTGAGGATACAAAAACAACATCCCAAATTGAGCTGATGCTCTAGCGCTGGGGGTGCCTGGTAAGTCAGAAACCAGTTAATAAAGGACTTAACACAAAGCAGGAGAGTCGGGATGTGGCTGGGCTGAGTGGAGGACTCGTGATCACTGATGAGATGTTAGCACTCTGCTAGACTGTGCATGCAGATTTATCATTCTCATCCATGCCAGCCTGAGGAGGTAGGTATTGTCCCCCACACTTTGCACATGAAGAAACAAGGTCAGCAAGTAAGTACTGAGGTCACAGCGTGTGCCAGGGCCTGAACCCAGGCTGGTCAAAGCCTGTATTCTGTGCTGTTCAACTCGGAAGCTCTTTGGACAACATGTTGTTTCTTGTTAGGAAATCTTCCAGGAACCTTAATCATTTGGAATGAAACAAGAACAGTGTGACGACCCAGGGCTGGGAAGGTCCTGAAAAACTACCCTCACAAATCCAAGAGCATTAATAAACCCCTACGACTCTCTCGGTATACTCAATTCTGAGACAAACAGGACCAGCATGGCTGAGGCACCTGGCAAAGGAGGCTCAGCAAGCGGAGGGAGGAGAGGGCGGACAGCCGCTTGGACCAGGCCTGGCAACAGATCACAGCTGAGCTCTGCAAGGGTGGTGGGAGAGGTCTGCAGGGGGGCATTAGCAAGCAGGGGGTGGGGAACAGCCCAGAGAGTGTCCTGATTTGGGAAAAGAGTGGGATTTGACAGACAGATGCACACGTCAGATCACGTAGGTACTTTTTGGTTGGAAAATTAATGACAAGTGATGGAGTTTGGATGGGTTGTCCCCTCCAAAACTCATGGAAATTTGATCACCAATGTGGCAGTGTTGGATACTGATTGAGTCATGGGGGCAGATCCCTCATGAATGGGTTAATGCTCTCCCTGGGGGAGGGGGAGTAATGAGGGAGTTCTTGCTGTATTAAGTTCCCGCAAGAGCTGGTTGTTGTAAAAAGACCCTGGCACCTTCTCCCTCTCTCTCGCTTCCTCTTGCCATGTGATCTGTTTGTACCCACCAGCTGTCTACTGCTTTCTGCTATGAGTAGAAGCAGCCTGAGGCCCATGCCAGATGCAGTTGTCCCAGAATCGTAAGCCAAATAAACCTCTTTCCTTTAATCACCCAGTCTCAGGTATTTCTATTATAGCAACACAAAACGGACTCAAACAACAAGTTACAAGAAAAAGAGTGGGGAACGTCATCCAAAAAAAGATAGCTTTGTTTTTGCCAGTTTTAATCCTAGTTGGCAGATGGGCTCAACTGAGGCAGGAGTTTTCAGGTGCTGACAAGTATAGGCTGCACTATGGTTCAGAAGGGCGCTCCTGCCTCAGGCAGGTGTGAACCGGCACAAACCAAGGGATCAAGGAGTGTCCTGGAGGGACTCTGGCTGTGGCTGCACGGAGGCTTGGACAGTCAGTGCCGTGCTGGGAAGAAAGGTGGAACCCTAAGAAACACAAGCAGCTTTTTTATAGAGTCAAGAGTCGATCACCAGTCGCTAAACAAACATCCCCTGTATTTGTAATCCTTGGGAAAGGAATAAAATAGGTGCTTTGTGGAAAAGGCCTGGAGGAATTGAACTGCCCTCAGTGTTGTTGTTGTTTAATTTTTTATTGAGACATATTGATCGTACATAATTATGGGGTACAGGGTTATAGCTCAACACACGCATACAATGTGTGACGACCCAGTCAGGGCGATTAGCACATTCATCACTGCAAAAGTTTTTGTGATGTGAACATTTGATCTCTCTTCTAATCTTTTGATAACATGAAGTAAGTCATAGATTTCCTGGGTCAACTGTACACCAATAGAACTTGTTCTTTCTAGCTGTAATTTTGTATCCATTAACCAGCTTCGCAATATCCACCTTTCCTGCCTCTAGTAATCAGTTTTTCTCTCTTTTCAAAAGTTCAATTGTTGAGATTTTAATCCTTGTAATCAACAATTTGCTAATCCGAGGGTCTCTATAATCTCCCTCCCTATAGGTTATTATAAAAGGCTGTGCTCTAGGGCCAGCCCGTGGCTCACTCGGGAGAGTGTGGTGCTGACATATAGGGATGGCCGGTTTGTTCACTGGGTGAGTGTGGTGCCGACAACACCAAGTCAAGGGTTAAGATCCCCTTACTGGTCATCTTTAAAAAAAAAAAAAAAGCTGTGCTCTAACAGGCCTTTAGGGAGGATCCGATAAGACCCAGAGTGACCCTTCATTTGTCCAGTTAGTGGTCCGAGCCTCACATTCCCCTCCCCTTTATTTTTTATTTTTTTTCTCCTTTTTGTCTTTTTTCGTGACCGGCAACGAGATCGCAACCCTCGGTGTTGCTCCCGCACCTCGCTCAGCCAGTGAGCAGCCGGTCTGTATGTGGGATCCAAACCCTCAGTGGAAGCGCTGCCACGCTTCCCAGGCGGCGCACTGTAGCAGTGCGCCACCGGGCCGGCCTTTTTTTATTTTTTTCCCCCTCCCCTTTAGTAGCTGAGATTTTTTTTGGCACAAAGGGGTGTCTTGTTTCCTTCCCACACTGAACAGTAATCCTCTCTCTTAGCCATAACCACACATAACACATTGAGAAATTTGCTTTTCCCTTCAGGCGTTATATGTGGTAGAATGTGGGTTCTCTTCTGTTATTGTCTTTGGTAAAAGCACTTTCGTGTCACATTTACAATTTTTGAGCAGATGTCTGCTCCAGCCCATGAAGCCCTGCTCCAAATCTGGCCTGATGGGTCTGGCCACACACAAAGCGTTCAGTGCCCACCATGCGGAGTTGGGTCCCTCACGCTGTATCCATCGCTGCCTCCTGGAGCAGGGCCAGCGCGTCCAGCACCCCAGGGAGGCTTCCTTACACCTCTGTTTTCCTCCACCTGCCAGGGCTGTCTCCCCACTCAGGGGCCTCAGAAAAGCATTGAGAAGTCCTTGCATTTTCTTCACAGAGATATAATCATAAATAAGTGGCAGCTCATTCCACTGGCCCACATTGAGGACTCTCAGAGTTGAGAAGAACAACTGCAGATTCTAGTTCAAATTCTGTCATCCTTCAATTCTGTAGAAGCAATTTTTTCATCTCCTGAGACCCTCTCAAAAATAGATTAATAAAAGTAAGAGAATTCATCAAAAATCAAGGCTGAATGACAGACTGCGCAAATTCTTGAAGATCATCCCTCAGTCCTTATACTGTGCTGTGCTGGTCTATGTGCACGGGTGCACTTCACCTT